AAAATTTTTATGAAATGGCAACCGTGTTCGAGCTTCTCCTCAGATTTTTGGTGTGCGCCTTGATGTTTTCACACAAAAGGAAGGGACCTACTGTTTTACGCCGAGGTTTTTTTTTTCTATCAGAAAAATCTTCGGAGGTTTGCATTGCCTGCCGAGGGGCCGCCGCTATTTGAAATAACTTTTTTGTATCTTTTGTTTAGATGTTAATCGAACCTAGGCCCTGCGGAGTGGTACTGCTCACGTCTAAACACTACATATACCACAGTGCCCTCGCATATTTTTACTTAGTAAGAACTCACCTGTAGAACTATCCAACTGTCCTATGTTAGACATTAAACATTTTCTTCAGTAGAAAAAATAAATAAATTTTTAGATACATTTTAACGATTTTTTAATTTTTGTTAGAAAAAATTAGAATAATTTTTCATTGTAACGAATTTGAAACACACTGTCATACGAGGGAGGAGTTAGGAGAGTTTATGTTGTCAGTAAACATAAGTTATTGAAATACATTAAATATGTATTATTTTTACAACGCCAATATTAAGGAAGCTAAGTATGTAAATTTAATCATCGTGTTTCTTAATTCCATATTTTGACAGTCTCTTCTTCCGTGGAAAAGTTTTTAAAAATATGCACATTTATTTAACGCAAACTTAATGCTTGAAATACAATACCGGCGAACGGCAAACTTCGCCGAATTGGGCGATGCTGTCGTTCACCGTTCGCCCAACTATTTCGCCTACTTAAACAGAATTAGAGCGGTAGCGAAAACAGCTGATCCCATTTGGTCGCCTTTATAATTTGGGTGACCATATTTAGAAAAAACTAAACCATATTTAGAAATGAGGAAATGATAACAAATATAAATGTAAAACAAAGAAAGATTATTATAAATAATTTGTTTCAAGCCAGATTTAACGAATCCACAACTATATTTTTCAAACAACAAAAAAAAAATCGTGTTTAGGTTGTTTTCTTTTTAAACTTTGAAAGCACAAAACAAATACGGCCACCTTTGGCACGCACAGCTGTCATCGCCCAGCAGAGCGATAGAAATAAATCTATCGCCATGAAACGCCGCCAAGCGAAGTTCGCATTTCGCTTTGGCTGTGTTCAATTTCATATGCTTGCGGGTGTTCAAATTTTGACAGCGCGAATTTCGCTGTGGTGAGTTCGCCGTTCGCCGGCATTGTATTTCAGCTATAAAACACTGAAAAGCGAATGAAATCAAAAAGTGTTGTTGAAATTTATTTTTCTGAAGCAACCGACTGTATTATTTGTCAACAGCAGCTCATTGACATTGGCGCCAACTTCGCTAGCACTGAATAGTAAAGCGGCAAAATCATAATTAACTAAAACAGTAGCAAACACAAAGCAACAAAACCAATTGACTACTTGTGGCTTGGAAGTGTCCAAGTGCTGCATAGAAAATTGTTGGAGTGTTGTGTCTGCGTTTGAGAAGTCAATAACTAGTATAGTGCTTATCACAGTTATACGCCACCCAAGTTTTGACTGATCTTTGTTATTTTATTAGTTAATTTTAATTATTTTTTATGAAAACATAGTTTATTCCTTAACAAAAACCGTGCATTTTATTATACTAAAATTGAATGTGCTATAAAACTGCATATCTGTAATCTTTCTAGGAAATCTATTAAAAAGCTCAATGTTTTTACGAAAGTTTGTTGATTTTTTTTTTAATATTGCACAAAGTTTAAAACTTCCATTTATATGGTTTTTATTAAAGAATAAACTGTGTCAAAACTTGTCAATATGTGCATGGCGTATACTTGCGATATGCACTATTATAAACTGGTTATTTGTTTTTATTTTTCCGTTTAAGTGGTGCTGACATTTTTTTTCACTGAAAAAAAAGAAACAAATTTACGGTAAATTGTGATAAACAAAAGCAAAGGCTTAACGTATCATTGAAAGTGATTAGTCTTAAGCCAATAAATTAATTTGCACTAGAAACGCAGTGTATGGGGTGAGTTGGTGTAAAAGAAAAAAAAAGTAAAATAAAAATAAAAACAAGCAAGTAATTCATTAAATTTTTTTTTATCAATATGTTATATAAATTTTACCTGTATTAATTTATTAACACAGATTTTAAAGATTATCTACAGATTTCTTAGCTGGAACCTAGGCAAGGCGCGGACCGAGTTTGGTATTGGATAGGTGAAGTGGCTACGGAGACACAGCATTTCATCATAAGCGGGCGGGTTCACGACCATTTTCCAAAAATTTCATAATAATATTTTTTTTTTTACCATAATTATACTTCACGTACTAGTTCTAAACAATTTCGATTCAATATTTATTGAAATATCGAGGTTTTTGCATTTGTCCAAAATAGCGTTATATGGGAAGTGGGACTGGTTACAACCCAATTTCGCCCATTTTCAATACCAACCTACCTTGGGTAAAGGGCAACCTACATACCAATTTCGTTGAGATATCTCAATGTTTGCTCGAGTTATCTTGGTATTTTTTGCATTTCCGGAGTTCTGTATGCAACTAAAAAAATTATATTCTTGTCGGGTTTGCTATTAAGAAACTATATATTTATTAAAAAAATAAGACAAAATTGTTATGGAAAGTATAAATAAATAAAATCGTCAAAACGTCAGGGTATGCATATTTGTGACGCTGACTGTATATTATTAGCTTAACTATTTTTCATCCGATCGTTTTAAATCAAAAAGCGCTGTGGAAAAAGATATTTATCACACCTTTCAAATTATGTCGATATATTATTCTAAAATTGCTTGCAACTCAAAGATTTTCTTTCAGAATTATGAAAAATTTAGTTCGCAAACTTATAATTTCATCACTTTTCCATGAAGTTGTGGAAACAATTACATGCATACATACATATTTACATACGTACATATAGATTTCAAAGTGAAAAGAGTAAAAACCTACAAAAATTGCAACTTTTTATTTTCGCTTATATTGACCATCCTGTAAAAAAAAAAATAATTATTTGCTCAAACAACAAAATGTGGATCTCAAATTGGAGAAGAGACTCGACCAAATGGTAAACAAAAATATTAGTATCAATATTTTTCAGGAGTGAGCACAGCATCATTTCTTTTCTTATCTCTACAAGAATGTATTTTAAATCTTTGTTGATGCTATAAAACTATCTCTTGATTAGAAATGTTAATTTCCACCAGTAATGGTATGCTTCTAGTGTACGTAAATTTTATATATGTATGTATGTATGTATCCGTGCATGCATGTTTTGAATGGCATCAACTTGCCATAACAATTTTCTCCCCCACGCGCAAAGCCCCTCTAACATCCTCCTACCCCTTCTGATGATAGGTTGATTTTTGAAAAGTAAACAATAACAAAGTCAGCTTAGTGTCGCCAATAACAACAATTAAATTTATTAAATAAACTAGATATTTGCATGCTTGCACACACACATTCATATGTATGTATGTGTGCAGAAATGTGCTCTCAGATATGTACATATGTATACTTTGAAAATACAAGCAAGCTAGAGAAAACATAATGAACAGTCTCGCTCAATATGCTTAGACAAGTGCATTAGGATGAGACATACTTTTAGCAATTTAATACATTTAACATTTATTTTTCAAATAGATTTATTACATTGATGTGTGCGTTGTGACCGAAAACAATTATAAAAACTACGTAGGTTAGGCTGCAATGATAATTTCAGAGTTGTTTTTTTATGTATCTAATCGTGTTTGTGAACCAATAAAAAACTTCAAATTTTCTTAAAGACATAAATGGAAAAGCAATGAAGCAGCATCCCATCTGCCGAATATGATTAATTGCAATGCAGGGACCGATGGTGGCTGATGTGGAGTAGTAGTAAGCAGTGCGCGCTTCCACTCCGTAGGGAATGGGTTCAAGCCCTGTTCAAAGCAACATCGCAAAAAAGTATAGAAAAAAGGTTTTTTTCTTAACAGCGATCACCCCTCGGCAGGCAATGGCAAACCTCCGAGCTGTATTTCTGCCTAGGGATGGAAAGTTTTGAAAAATAATCGATTCTCGGTTCTCGAATCTTATTTAATCCTTACGATTCTTGGAATCGAATAATCGACGGCGAGATTCTAATTTTCGATTATAATCGATTCTTATTTCAATCTTTCTTTCACTTGAAAAATCTAGAAAAAGGGTCAATTATACACCAATCAGCTGTTAATGCTATTATAATGAATCAATTAAAATTATTGTAAAAAGAGTGTTTATAATAAATTTGTAAAAAAAATTGCTTAATTTGCTATAAAATGTGTGATTGACACTTATTCACGGTACTGTTTGATATGGAAAGTAAATAAATTTGAATACCCTCCTTAAAATTTTCTTCTTTTCATAAATTCATTTCAAGCATCTCTATGATTATGCACTAATAAGTCTTACTTAATATTTACATTAGTCTTGCCAGAAATTTCATAATTCCAACAACTGACCCATATCTAAACATGTATGAAAAATAAGGGAATCTAGTTCTCAGAATCGATTCTCGATCGATTCCGAAAATTTAGAAGCGATTCTATAAAATCGATTATTTCGAAAAAATCTTCGATTCTGAAGTGGAATCGGAATCGATTTTTCCATCCCTATTTCTGCCATGAAAAACAGCTTCTCATAAAAATGCAATCGCCGATCGAGGAGTCGACGTAAAACTGTAGGTCCCTCACCTTTGTGTGACAAGATCAAGGCGCACGCCATAAATCATAGGAGAAGCTCGGCCAAACACTTACATACATATGTATGTGTAAGCGTATGATGGAGACGCGTTTTAGGACCGTTGTAAATCCTTTATGATCCAAAAAATTTAATCAATAATCATAAAATCATAAAATGATGATTATTTTAGATCGAAAAAATAAAAATTATAAAATAACGATTAAATAGAAATCCAATTTTATCTATAATATTTTCGTGGATATCTTAAATAACATTTGGTTTCAATTATAATTAACCTTTGCATCTTACTGTTTCTATAATTTCAGTGTTCTATACAAGGTTATAATATGGAAGATCTAGAACTGGATCAGGTCACACAAGTGATTACTTATCATCCTCGTTTCCTTGACCATTTCCTGCGTACACAAAATTTCATTATGGATGGTGATGGACCCCTGCCATATGATTACCGCTACTATTTGGCCATAATTGTAAGTAGCACGAGAACAACAATCAAGTCGAATTTATGTATACAAGGTGATAAAAAACAAAACTACACTAACAAATTATACGCGCATTGACAATCAGAACAAAAAAAATAAAAATTACAACAAAAACATCATTTTGACCAACAGTACAAATTCGACTTTAAATCAGCAGGTCCGGTACCACCACCTTCTATGAATTCGTCTTGGGAACAATTTAGAATTTTAAAATACAAATACATGCATATAACCGCTAATATAATATAAGCACATACATACATACATATATTTAAGACAGTAACAAAGTCTAGAAACGGCTTAGAAAAATGTTATATTCTGATGAGTTTTTTCATCAAACACATTCTCAAATTTTGGGTGATTTAATTAATTTTGTTTCGATAGTTAGCCTTAAAAAAAAAATATCTTTTAAACAGTCCATTATTTTAGGAAATTTAAACAGTCTAAGCTGTTCAGGCCATCGAAGAAATGGTCCCCCAGGAATATAAAGCGCATTATTCGGTGTGTTAGCAATCGCAATTAAGTACTTAGAGAGTTCTACTTTTTTGTCGTAAGGAGTGACGTGGATGAATTAAGGATATTATAGTCGGCTCCGGTAGGTAGCGCTGGAGTATTCAATATAGTATCCGAAAACTGCCGCTACATGGTAAGAAGCCCCTATTTTAAACATCTTCGATAGACCGTTTCATTTTCACAAATTCCATAATAATGTTACCTCTTTTCAAGGGATTGTTGTTAGTATAAATTTTGAGTAAATTAGCTTTCTTAAATTTCGAAATATCGAAGTTTCAGCAAATCTGAATTTTGCCCTTATATGAAAAGTGGGCGTAATTTTAGTCCGATTTGAATAGTTTTCAACGTTTTGCTTTTATGTGGCATGCACAATAACTATTCCGAGTTTGGTATAAATTGCTCGAACAGTTACCGAGATACACATAGTATGTGGTTATAAGTGGGCCACGTCCATTTTCCAACATTTCATCACAAACGTATTTCTTGGTAAAGAGTTGTTTTGAATAAATGAGGTATTATCGCAGATTTCGTATTTTCTAGATTACCGTATTTCGGGATGTGGGCGAGGTTATTGTCCGATTTTAAAAAATTTTGAAATTTCACTTTTGAGTGAATAGGCTTAAGTGGTTACTAAAATATCGCGTGAATAAATTTGGTATACATATGGAGATGGAAAAGGCTACGCTGTATAGAAATTCGTTTTGAATAGAAAAAAATACTCTAAAAATAGAAGGAAAAGGCAACGTTCTTACAATTGATACGAATTAGAGAAGACTTCGATATTAGAGAATTTTAACTGCACATACATATTTATTTTGAACAGCAAATTCTTAGTGCAGTGTTTGTTGTGGGCCTATCTCCAGAATGGTATTTTTTTCAAAGACACTGTTCACTTAAAAAATTCATTTTATTCAAAATTTTTACGTAACTCATACAATTAATTAGGATTCTACACATACATAAATATAGAATGCGAATAAAATCATAAATTTCATTTAATTACTTCCTTGGGAAAATTATTGTTTACATATGTACCAACATACCCACCTTCCTGCATATGCACATATGTATATGGTTAAGCCAATACACGTTCACGCTTCAAAGCAACGATACAACAATACATTGTATGCACATTAGGGCGGGTCGAAAAACACAAATGCACATCTATCGCCATCGGCCAGTGAGCGAGGGAGTGAGTGAAAGCTCGTTACGGTGAAAGAACACAAATTAATATATTCACATGCTAATACCATTCATATGATAATGCAAACGATATATTATGAAGTAGCACGACTTTGATAAAACAACAACCGCTGGTAAAATATACGTACATATATGTACATACGTGCATAAATAACAACAGCAATACTTAATAAATATTTACATAAATAATAAATCCAACACATTTGTTTTTTTTTTACACATATGCAATTTGCAATGCAAAATAGTCAACGAAGAATTTTAATGGAAAATGCAAAACAAAACAACACAATGACTATGTAGTTACTGCCAAGCAAACAAAAAGTATACATACTTTTAAGTATGTATACAGGGTGTCCCAGAAGTAACGTGCCAAACTTTAGGGCAAGGTAGGTGGGGGGGTGAGCTCACTGATAAACAAAAAATTTTCAGGTAAAAGTGTCACCGTTTTTGAAATATTTACATTTTTTCGAATTTAAAAAAAATCGTGCCTTTTCATGTGTTTTCTTTAACTGCAACTACAAACCGGGCAATACTTAGTAAATTTTTTATGTAAAATACTTCCAGATAGTTGCCTCTCCATACTCAAATGCAATGTAGTTAAAATA